CGTGTCCAATAAGGCTTACTGCCTAGAAAGCATGTGAATTGAATTGGGCTGTTGCAAGTGTTCTGAGCCCTGCCTCCTGCACTGCTTACAGTGAGGAAGTCATACCTTCCAACTGCTTTCCTTGCTATATCTGCATTTTTATGAATATCATGGTAGTTGCCAAAACCTAGAATGTAAAGCAGATCTGTTCTGTAAACATCAATGGGATAGGAGATCCTGGCCTCAGTCCATCTGTTTCCTGCACCTAAGTTGATTTTAGTTTTAGTAAGTAAATAGAATGCTTTTTCATAAGCTGGGGAAGGCAGGGTATGGTGGCTTTTTCCTTCAGACCATTCAGATTCAGACCAGAAATGTCATGGTGAGTGTAGTGAAACATCTCTATAGAGATTTTCCCAAGTCTGCTTCCTTGTACAGAAAAAACAGGCTGGGGTCCTATACACATTTACTTGGAAGTAAGGGCCATTGGTTTTAATGTGTTTTACTTTTGAGTAGACATGTAGAATGTTTAGAACAGCTGACACCATGGGGGCATTCTGGGGACTTTGCAGTAAAAAAAAAGATTCTTTGAGGAAAATTGAAGAAAATACAATACTTTTAAGTGGTGTTTATAGATTTAAAGTCACTTTACTATGTTAGGAACATAAAATTTATTATGTATAACTTGGTTTGCTCATAAATGTATCACTAAAATTAAAAGCAGGAACAGCTGGAGGCAGAGGGAGGGAAGCTGGCACACAGCATCTGTTGCTGTTTATGAGGAATAGTTTAGGATGGAGTTAGGGAACTATGGTCTGAAGGAAAAGCTGTTGGGCCAGTTGGCATGTAATGGTACCAGGCTGCTTCAATTTCTATAAACAACTTTAGATCAGCTCAGTCAGAGTTTGCAAGTGTGATGTGTGAACCCAGATTGATGGGTTCTTTACAGGCTAAAAAAAATCAGTGGTTAACCCACCAACAATTCCTGGGATAACTACTGAGTTATGTGGGGGCCCATCAGTCTCAGTTTGCATGTAAGCTTGTTACAGAAGCTGGAAGTAGCTTGCAAGTGGTGTGTGCCTGTGTGAATTATAGGTGAATTAATCCATGATTTGCTACTGTGGCATGCACAGTGGGTCAATGAGAGTCTATTTAGCTAGGAGTTTCTTATTTATTAGGAATGATGACCACACATATTTAATTTAGATAAAAATGAGGAGCAATGTTTGAGGAGCAATGTTTTATTCATGTTTTAAATTCCCTCAATGAACATCTTCCATTTTGGTTATTTTGATCATGCCAATCCCATACCTATATCATAGGAACTGGGCTGCTGATACGTTGTACCATCACATAATGGTAGGATAATCTACACAGCTTCTCTTGTGGTTTTAGGATTGCGTTAATTGAATGGGTTTGAATTATATGACATGACATGCTGCATCATGCATTATTGTGTTCAGTTTTGGGCCACTCATTACAGGAAGGATATAGCCAGGGTAGAGTCAGTGCAGCATAGAGCCACAAGGTTGGTGTCCTGTTTGCAGGGGATGCTGTATGGGGCAAGACTGAGGGAACTGGGTCTCTTTAGCCTGGAGAAGAGGAGACTCAGAGGGGATCTGTTGGTGACATACAGGTATGTGAGGGGATGTCACATGGAGGTGGGTAGAGACCTGTTCTCCCCTGCAGAGGAAAGCAGAACGTGGTCCAACGGAGCAAAGCTCAGGGAACCAAGGTTCAATTTAGATGCCAGGAAGTACCGTATTTTTCGGTCTATAAGACACACCTGACCATAAGACGCACCTAGTTTTTAGAGGAGGAAAACAAGAAAAAAATATTCTGTATCAAATGGTTTACTAAACTATTTAATAAACTATAACAGAATACAGTAATACCGTATTTCAACCTTGTAAAGTGAACAGCAGTCAACAGTGGCATTAAGAACCATCATCACTGTCATTAACAAAAGAGAGACTTTAAAGTTCGAGTACTCTTCTAGTTTTCGTTGAACCCATAGAACTCATCATCACTTGAGTCAGAATTTATGAAGATCTGTTGCTCACAATCACTGACATCACTTTCTCAGTCAGTAGTGGAATTATTGAAGGAATCTACAGTCTACACCAGTTATACAAGAGCTGCTGCAGACAATTCAATAACAAATCTAAAAAAGCCAGTAATGTCCACGCTGCCCTACTAGTAAATAATAGAAAAAAACTTCTGATAAAAAATGAGATATTGTACGGTAAATCAAACACACAGCGGACTAAGTAGCCTTTGAAGAATAAACTTCATACACGAAGGTAATGCTGTTCAAATATCCACTGATCCTAAAAAAAATGTGTCTGATCAACTAACAGATAACTGATCCATGGAAAGCTTCCTGATAATCACAGGCACATTCCCCATCACTTCCCCATGGGCTTCATTAAAAGACGGGTTGCCATTTGAAAACACACCCCGACCTGTGATTAACAGCTCTCACCTGTGCCAGAGGAGGGGGGCGGAGCAGGGTGCACCAAGCACGTGCTGGCCAGGTGGTGCCACGTGGGGCCGGCAGCGTGCCAGCAGTGGTCTTCTGAGCAGCGCGGCGATGGCGGTGAGCAGTCCCTGGGCGGTGGGGGTGAGCAGTCCGTCTCTCCGTGCGGCCGGTGGGTTAAAGCTCATGGCTCCTCCTCCTCCGCACCTCTCCCCCTGAGCGGCACAGCTCTCACCTGCGCCGGAGGGGGGGGCGGAGCAGGGCGCGCCGAGCATGTGCCGGCCAGGTGGTGCAGGCGGCTGGCAGTGTGCTGGCGATGGTCTTCTGGGCGGCACGGCAGCAGTGGCAGGTCTTCCCAGGCGGTGGGGGAAAGCAGTCCGTCTCTCCATGCTCTCCATGCGGCCGGCGGGTTAAAGGCCGCAGCTCCTCCTCCTCCGCACGCCTCCCCTGAATGGCACAGCTCTCACCTGCGCCGGGGGGGGCGGAGCAGGGTGCGCCGAGCGTGTGCTGGCCAGGTGGTGCCACGTGGTGCAGGCGGCTGGCAGCATCCCAGGCGTCGGGCACACACACATTCGCTCTATAAGACGCACAGACGTTTCCCCTTACTTTTGAGGGGGGGAAAGTGCGTCTTATAGAGGGAAAAATATGGTACTTCCTGACAGTTAGGACCCCAAGGGTATGGAATGGACTTCCACAGGAGGTGGTTGAGGCCCCATCAGTGAGGGTGTTCAAAGATAGCCTAGACATGCACATGGTGGGCATGTCGTGAGCGGAGCCAGCTGGAGCTGGGGGTCAGATTAGATGGCCCGGGAGACCCCTTCTGACTTGCTCTGTTTCTATGTGTATTTTATTAGATGTTGTGAGCCGCCCCGAGGCTTCGGCAAGGGGCGGCATAGAAATGTTTTAATATAAATAAATAAATAAATAAGTTTGTTTGTTTGTTTGTTTCTGTTATGGGTTATTTAACCCAAAAGAAACCATGGATGTGTGTACACAAGTGTCATATTGCAGATACCAGGGGTTCCCAGCCTTTTTGGATCCATGGGCACATTTTAGAAACTGCTGTGGGCAGCACTACAAATTGTCTAATCAGTGGGCTACTGCTTTGGTAACTGCTGTCACATCTCTTACTCTCAGACTGTATCTTATTCATCAAATAGGTTTGTTCTGTGCCTTTCAGATACTATGGTGTTTTGTTTTGTTTTTACTTTTTTGCTTTTTTAAATGAGAGGCTGCCTAATTTTATTAATTGCAAGGAGTGCAATACATCTAACACTTCTTTTAAACATGTTTTGACAATGTCTTGTAGTTGCTCTTTTTGAGAGGGAGGTTATTACACAGATACATATTGAATTAGAACTGATTTAATCCTCATTGTTGTTCACATTTCTAAATTATTTTCCACCTCTTAGAAATCAAGAAATAGCATAAATGGATTTTCCATGCCCTTTTGATAGCTGATCTCCTTATATAGCTGTCAATATTTATATTTCATACTCCAGGTAAGCACCTAAAACTGAAAGTTAGTAAATCACTGGGACCAGATGTTGTCCAACCTAGAGTTCTTAAAGAGACCAAATATGAACTTGCTAACCTTCTTACAAAAATATGTGACATGTCCCTAAGATGAACCCTCAACATATATAAAAGCCAAACATCAGTTTGGCTGTGTTGTCCAAACTGGTGAACATAGGTTATTTGAGGATTAAACAACCTAAAAAAGGCCTTGCATTATGCAAGTGGTGCTTAACCTTCACATAACCCATGCGCATGTGTTTGCACAACCCAACAACTGCATATTCAGAATAGCAGCTGGACATGCCCCACTGCCTTACCCTGGTTTAAATAGCCCATAGTGGGCTGTCAGATTATGCTGACAACCCCATTGAGTGCTATATCACTTAACCAGAACAAGCCCAGAAACATCAGATTCTATAGAACAAAAACTCAAAATGTTTAAGAGTTTTCTTCAAATATTATGCTATGACAATTCTTGTCATATGTTGGGACACTTAGCATGACAGGAAGCATCCTTAAATGCCTGTCAGTAATTAGATCAATAAGGAATGAAATAAATTTTAATAAAAAATTATAAATAAGGAATGAAAGAAATAACTACAAGAAAATTTAAAAAACAATTTTTTCTACAATGGCTTCAGCATTTTTAGATTTGTTGCATTTCTATTTTTATGTAAAAGTCTTTCTATCAGATTGTAGAAATAATAATAGATTGTAGAAATAAGTAAATCCAGGAAGCAAAATATGAATACCTTGTCATAAGCATTTATATCTATGAAATATTATATATGCATGTTTGTGTATGTATATATATCCATAATTCAAAATTATTTAATAATTCCAGCATTTCAGAAAAAGAAGAAGAAAAGGGTACTGAGGGAAGGAGATCCCCTAAATTCAGTTTTTTTCCAGGCCTTTGTATTTGAGAAGACCAGTATTTGGGTTTCCAATAAATGGCACAGTGGAATTTTAACTATATCTGTTTCTGATGCTTTATTGTAAAACTTTTGTGATTGACTTGTTTCAGGTTTACTGGACCAGCTGGGCCAAGTGGTTTTGGATTTGAGCTGACATTTAGACTTAAACGTGAAACAGGGGAATCGGCACCACCCACATGGCCAGCAGAGTTAATGCAGGGCTTAGCCCGATACGTCTTCCAATCAGGTAATATTTAATTGGTTTGCTTTGAATTAAAGGTTTGTGGTTTTCGTGTGTTTTATTTGTTTTTCCTACATGCCTTGCTTGAGATGTCCAGCTTTTATTTTCTATGTTTCTTATACAGTAGATAGTACTCTAGTAATTAATCTTTGAATGACCGATCAGGAAAAATAGTAAATATGGTGAGGCATCTTGAAACTGTTTTATGACTGTATTAAAAAACTAAATTTATGCATAGATTCCCATGCCAGATAATGATTCTTGTTTAGTGATTTCGGGCTGGTTAGTTGTTCAGTATAATTTGCAACTATGAGCCTTCTTGGTTATTTTGTTCCATACAAACCTCTGTGCTCTGCAGTCAATTATCTTCATCAATATTTTGTACAGGGTACAATCAAGGGACATCAAGATCAGCAAACAGATAACACTTCTTGGTTGAAGATTTTATTATTTCTCATATTCTCATATTGATTGCCAGCCCACTTTTTCATGTGTTTTAAGTGATGGCAGTGCCTTAAGAAAAACAAGCTTTCTGTCGGGTTTCAGAATGATGTGAATATCTCTGGATTGGATTGGTAAATAGAAAACTTGCAAGTTTTTTATTGTTAATATTAAAAACTCAAGAGAATGGAATATTCTCTTTTTAATTTTCACTTGAAAAGCATTGATCATAATGTGTAAGGTTTCCTTTTCTGGGCAAAGCCAGAAACTGCTACAACTACTCACCATCTTGACTCAACAGATTTGACATCCGAATTTCAAGCAAAAGCCACTTGTACTTTCTTAATGTGTTGAACTGGGTGCTATACAATGATGAAGTTAAAAAGAAAATACTCTACCTGCAGGTTTACAATTCCAAAACCAAATACATTTAGTAAAGAGGGAAGAGAAACTCAGGGAAGAGTAAATATGAGTAATCTCTCTCCAGTAAAACATGAAATATGCCGTGCAAGAACTCAGATCCTTCTTCTTACCTTCTGTATGGCCAAAGGACATGCATAGATCATTTCACACACTAAGGATATGCTGAATATGTGTCTCTCACAAAATACTGAATATGCATTCATACTCTGTGTGTGCTTGTTAAAATGGTTGTGAGAAATTATCCCTGTTCAGTTATTCTCACTGTATCTAAGCTCTGTACATGAGGAAAGGAAGCGGGGATTAGCTCACTTACTTCACCCCATCCTTTGCCAATCCCATTGCCTTCTAAATGTGGCCTGCAGAGGACAAACCTCTACATAAAATTCAACCATGTAGAATTTCTTCCCAAAAATTTTAGAATTCTGATTCTTGAAATAAAATTATAATTACCATTAAGCATTTATAATCTCATTTATCGTTTCAATTTTCAGTAAGGCAGATTCAGATACATTTTGGAAGTTAATAGGATTGCCAGTACTGAAATTCTACATTTCATTTTAAAAACCCATGGAAATTCAATTATTTAAAAAATCCTGCTGGATTAAGACATATTGATTCAAATTCCTTAAAATTGGGAAATTAAGATTGGCATGTTCCATCATCATTGGTGTACAATGTTACACCCTGCATTTGCTTACTTATCCTCAGTGTACCCACATTTTGCTTTGGTCCACAAACATGTCCCACCCTAACCCTGTATTGCCTTACTGCTTGCCTTACTGTATTGACCTCTCACTGTTTATCCATCCTGCACTGTTTAATCCATTCAGCAACTCATGTAAGCATCAAACTGGTATTGGTCAACGCATAGGAAGATTCCTTTTGTAGAACGGTAAGGCTGAGAAGGCAGTAAAAGTCCAGGACAACATGCAGCTTCTATGTGGGTGTACATATAATTTATAATTAGAAGAACAAATTTGTAATGTCGCACACCATCAACTCTGATCATAGAACATGTCAGTTAATTCATTGGCCTTATCATCTAGTTTCCTGACTTTGTAGACCATGAACCAACCTTACGTCTGGACTTAAAATGCCAGATTTTTTGATCATGGAGTATCTGTGCATCTGAATTACATGTGCAGAAAAGAACCCTATCATAGCTGGCTTTCCTAGGGGAGTATAAAGAAATATCCCCTATGAAGGAATACCTCTACATTTAGATGACTTTAAAAAAATGGATGTATATGCTGCTCAGCAGCCAAAGCTGCCTATTAGACACCCACCTTACTTCCTTTAGCAGTGACTTCATGAGAAGGACCACTGAGGATATGAGTGATAAGTATTTTATTGGATTGGAGACCTTTGCTATTTAACTTTTGGCTTGTGTTGGTATTCTTATGTGTGCAAGGAAGACCCATACCTTTCTTAATTTATTCCTATCAGCCATCTTTCCAATAGAGTTAACTCTTCATTCTCATGATGGTAGGTAAGCCTTGGCATTTTACACAGCTGGGATGATTTTTTTCTGTAAGTTGTCCAGACTGTTTACATTTTACACAGCTGGAAGGGAAGAACAAAGAATTGCCTATCTCAGCTCAGTGATTTAGCATCTTAGATTGTTCAGACTATCAAGCTGGTCTATGATTGGCCCAGGACTAGAACTCTTAGATCATTTAAGGGCCTATTATGCATGAGGAATAGCCAAAATCAGTTTGCTGTCTACTGTTATTCCTGTACCATATTCCTTTTGGTACCATATTATTCCTTTGGTTTTGAAGCTACACTTGATAGTCTCAGAGAAACTGAGGAAATAGATAGGAATCTGGTTGAGGACATGCATACTGGGATGGTGGGAAAGGTGTTTCTGCCTAAATTCCTCAGCTAAAGAAATGTACTGCATGTCATTCTGTGTAGGAACAGAGCCCATATATGGGAATGCACAGATGAGTACTCAGATAACTACAGTTGCAGATAAGCTAACCATCTTTCTAGTAGAAGCAGCCCCAAACCTGTTGGATAATGTGTGCAGAATCGTTTGGAGTTTATGTCATTGTGTAATTACATTGTTCAGTTGAATAATGTATAATGGTTTTTGTGTATTGTATTCAGAAATCAGCCAAAGAAGATGGAATTCACATTTTCACCATAGTTTCTTCATGCTTGCATTAATCCTGAAAGGTGACCTTGCTTTAATTCCACCACTTGCAATGCTTTGCATCTTTCTTCATATTGATTACTACCCAAAAGAATTGTAATGGCAACCTATGATTTTTATTATGAGAATATGCATGTGTGAGCCTCAGGTTCATGCAAGAATTCTTTCTCCTTTGCATTCAAGAGGAGGAAATGTTAAAATTTCTGGTATAGTTTGCAATGAACTGTAGGATTTTCAGTTCAACCAATTATGTGAAAGAAACCAGAGTTTTCACATTTGGATGAACAGGAAAACCTGGTTTGTTTCAGACTTTGGCTGGAAGTTTCAACAGTTCTCCACCATGCACATGAAGGTGGGAGGAAACTGAGCAGCAAATTGGCTTGCACTTATTCAGTCTTATAATGATTTGTCATTACAAGTCTGCAAGACTAAGGCTTCTGTACCTTCCTACAGCTTCCTTCCTCCTTTATGAGATGGGGAAATGTAAAACCTTCCAGTTGCTGTTTAGAATTAACTGCAGGTCTCTTGGTTTGTCTGAATAGGAAAGTATGGTTTATTTCACATATTTGGGCATAATACAAATCTTCCAGTTTTTAACAAACTGTTAATATTTCCTGCTCTCGGACAATTAGGAGAGAGAAGCAGACACTTGCAGCATGGGTAGTTACTTCATCTGAATTAGACCATGGAGGAAAGATGTATAATGCAGGAGGATGGAATGAAAGGAGAGACTTAAAAGGAAAGTACTTGTGCCAGTTACTGCTAGCCAAAATAACATTCAGTGTAGAATGGTACATCTGTCTATGGCCTTTTCAACTCAAACTGCACATTAGCAGGCAACTGAAATGGCAAGGTGAAAATATAAACTGCTATTTCTGCTGAATTCAACTCTTCTAACCCTGTTATTGTGTTGGTCAGTTTCAGTTTGCTGGTTTTCCTAGCGGGGAAAAAGTACCTTGCTAACATCAGTGTTCAACTTTTGTAAACAGGAGTACATGAAAAGTAAAGGAGCTACTACACTGAAGGAGATTGCCACATATTTTACTGTTAGGAGAGCTTTAACTGAAGCCTAGTTTTCACATGGGTATAACCTGTAATGGGCTAGTTTGCAAGATTACTACAGCCCACTGTGGACATGTTTGTCATTTGCCATGTTTACATAATAAATAAAACTCGCGAACAACCCTTAACTGCCCTGCCTCAGATGTCACAACAAATCATAACAACACTCTGAAGGGATTTTAATATTTTTAAAAGACTGCCAGTTCATGCTAGAATTCACTGTGGTTTAAGAATTGCACCTTACATGGTGCATTGCTGAAGAAATATTTGTATGGAGAGGAATTTAAATTATGTGAGTCCTCAGTTGCAATCAGCAATTATAGCCCACGTGCAGACTTAAAGCCTGAGTTACGTAATGGTATTCTGTGTGTGTATTTAAGACAGGATCCGAGATGTCTTGTCATGTGCTTTTAATACTAGTGTTAGATTAGCACCCCAACCCACTGATCCTTGATGCAGAATCAGGTTGCCTAGAATTCCACAGAAGGACCGCCCTTGAAGACTGTTCAGAAGCTGCAGCCAGGCTTGTAAATAGAGCCAGAAGGTCTGAGCATGTAAGACAAATTCTTGCTCACTTGTACCAGCAGTCTGCATGTTTCCAAGCACAATTCAAGGTACTAGTGCTAATGTATAAAGTTTACATGGCTTAGAACCACAGTACCAAACAGCTTGAATATTCCCAGTCACTAAAATCAACAGCTGAGGCATTCCTCTGTCACCTCCAAAAAAGGCTCACTGGGTGACAAAACTGAGCAGGGCCTTCTCAGTGGCATCCCCTTTCCAGTTATGGAATTATCTGCCCATTGAAGCCCACCCAGCACCAGCTCTGTTATATTTTTAATGCTGAGTTTTGACTGCCCTCTTCTCCAAGGCATTCAGTGACATTTAGTGACATATGCGGGCATTTAAGTTGGTCGAGTTT